CGCTGATCGCAATGGCTTTTGCAAAGCCGCCGTGTTCGAAGACGTCGCTGATGGACATGGTCACCATGGCCAAGGCTTGCTTTTCTTGGTACTCGGGCGAGTTTTCGCGGATCTGCAGCTCCTTCTTGATGAGCGAGAGGAGCTGTCCTTGCGGCAGCTTTTCGTCGTCCACTGCACTGCCAGCGCGCCACAGCTCTTGCTCGAGCTGCTCGAGCACCGTGTCGTCGTTCTACAAGAGGAAAGGGTTAGGTTTCGACTGTCGTCTGTGTCCTTGCTACCTTGTCGGTGAGATACACTTCGGCCGACGCTTCCAGGAGAAGCTCGACGACCGGAATATGGCTGCCATTGGCTGCGAGCATGAGGGCCGTCTTGCCATCCTACCAATCCCAAGAGCTTTAGAAAGCGCTGTCGAGGGTTCGATGTACCTTGTTTTGGAGATCGACGTTGACGGACTTTGCCAAAAGAAACGTGACGTAGGCGGCGTGACCGAGACTGGAGGCCACCATGAGCGCGGTCTCTCCGTTCTAAACCCACGCCACTCAGCACCACTTGATAAGTTGATAGTTGCTACCTCGTCTTGCTTGTCGAGGTCAATGTCGGTCGCACAAATGTTGTTGAGCGTTTCCTCCGAGAACGACCCACGCATCGCCGCATGCATGGCCGTCTGCTTGCGCTAGAAACGAAATATCTTGTGAGCGCTCGAGAATGCACCGAGATTCGTACCGCCTCCAACTCGCGCGCAGCCGCCACGTTCGGGAGGTTCAATAGGAAGAAACCAATGTTGAAGAGGGCCAGCTCCCAGCGATCGTAGACGAGGAGCTCGCTCGGTGTCGCGTTCGCGCGGAGCTCGGTCAGTGACGCCTACACATCATGAATTCGACTACGACGTGCAACCAAGAGCGTCTGTACGGCATTGGTGTCTTCGTCGACCATCGGGTCGGCGCCGGCCGCGAGCAAAAGACGGACGATCTTGACGTGATCGTTGTCGACTGCATAGTCCAAAGCGCTTTGGCCGGTCTAACATGGAGACGGTCAACCACTCGACGCCTCGAACGCACGAGTCGTATACCTCTTCGGAGCGCAGGTTGAGGTCGAGGTGTGGCTGCGTCAAGAGCAGCTTCAGCACCGGAACGTTGCCACGCTCGCACACGTGATGTACGACAGACATGCCCTACGCAACACATTTGCTTAGGACGTCCTGTGCACGGAAGGTATGGCTGCACTACCCCTTCGATCTTGTTGAGCACGTCGGCCGACAAGGGTTCTTGCAGCACCCGACGCAGCTCGGTCCAGTTGCGAGCTGCCGCCAGACCCGAGAGGCCGTTGTTGGACGTACTGCTCATCTTGCACTCGCCAGTGCACTCGCGCGGCGCTGAGCCCGTCAAGTACGAGGCCCACGGCAAGTACGACGCGGGCTACTCGATATCTTTGATCAACGTGTCGCAGCCACAGGTGGACTATACCAAATGGGCAAAGTCAAGCGCGAGTTTGCCCTTGCAGCTCACAGCGTGGAGCGCCCGCATCAAGCGCGACGGCACCGTGCCCAAAGCGTTCTCGGCGCAGAAAAAGTTGTGGCGCACCAGCATATCCAGCGCCGTATGTCCTTCCTACAGGCTCCAACATCAGACAAAATGCAAGAACGAGAGACCACGTACGTTGTCTCTGGCGCTCACGGCGTCGGCCGGAATATGCGGCAGAATGCGGTACAGCACTTGGTCTGCGTCGTGGAGGTCGTCAAACATGAGCGCCGCGTGCATGAGCGGCGTGCGTCCCGACTACATAGCAAGGTATATAAGTACGCGGCATGAGCCGGCAGTGTACCTCGTCCGCGGCCGTCAGCGCCGCCGCAATCTCGGTAGCAGCGTCGTCTTCGTGCTTGGCTTGCATCTCGGCGAGCCACGCGTCAAAGCGGGCGACCTTGTTGGTGCGGACAAGCGCGTGGACGGGGAAGGCTTGGCGAAAGGTGGCTTCGGCCTCGAGAAGCGCACGAATGCGAGGGTTCTCGGTCAGGTCGGCGGGGCGCTCGCCAGCCTAATGAGCGCGATGATGCGGGTGGTTTCCTCGGTCATTCGAGCATGTACCTCGTTGACGGCGTCCAGGCTGTAGCCCTCGGCGAGAATGCCGTCGAGTGTCTCGGCGAAATCGTCTTGGTCGTCGTCTTCGTCGGGCGCCTGCCGGATCACATAATGCAGCGCCGTGTTCCCGTCCTACGCGAGAGACGTTGTTAGACGTCAGGACGTCAGGAGCAATCAAGGGTACTGCGGCACGGGCAAAGATGTCGGCGCCGACCGCCGCAAGCACGGCCGCGCATGTATAGTCGGCGTTGGACACGGCGACCAGAAACGGCGTCTCGCCGTCCTACAGCGTCCGTGGTTAGGGTCCAATGACACCGAAAGTGTCTGTTGTACATTGTTGGTGACGTCAACGGACGAGAAGCGCGGGACGAGCCAGCGAAGCACGCCCATGGCGCTGTGGTCTGCCGCGTGGTGCAAGAGCGTGTTGCCGTTCTAGTGACAATGATGAGCGACCGTGACGGACGAGGACACGTACTGTCGGCGACACGAGCTCCAACGGGTCCGCGAGGACGGCCCAGAGGTACGTTACGACCGGGAGATGGTTGTAGGCGACCGCTCGCTGCATGGTCACCCATGCAAACTACGTATACGAGGCATATGAGGTCAATATGAGCCGAAGAAGAACGGACGTTGGGAATGCGCTGATACGGCGTCAGCTCGACAAGCGCTTGGACGACCGGCAACGAGCCCGAGAGCGCGGCCATCGAGAGCACCGAGTCGCCATCCTACAATGAGTGTCAGATCCGCTGAGGAAGAGGACGCTAGAGACCTCGTCGAGGGTCGTGAGGTCGTCGTCGGTGATGGTGCCGGGCGTGCGGAGGCGCCAGAGCACTTCGTTCTCTTTGCCTTTGGTCATGAGCTCGATGAGCGTCAAGCCGTCCAAGCTCATGTCGTCGTCGCTGGCAGAGCCCGTCGTGTCCCCGCGCTGCATACTGGTGCGACTCGTCAAGTTGAAGAATGACCAAGAGTCCGAAACTACGATCGCTCGTCAATTGTGGTGCACAGTGGTACATGCAGCGCGGCGCATTGTCAAAGCCGACGTGGTGTGTACATGTGTTCAGTCGACTGGAATCATCAGCCGGTGAAAGCGCCGGTCGGTCGAGATCGGTGCGCAGTGCGGCAAAGTCCATGGATCTGTGTGTCCAAGACCAAGTCTTACGGTGATACAAGCTCCACCCCGCCCCAGCTGGTAACCTCCAACGCAACGATGCCGAATACCTCCTTCCCGAGAAAGCCCCAAGACACGCAACAAGTGCCTCCTAGACCCTCCCCTGCTCCCCGCGTGCTGCGAGGCTCCTAGCATTCATGGCCTTCCCCAATAACCCTGACCCCTCTCCCCTGAGCAGCATGTGGTGTCGAGCATATGGCTTGCGACATGAAATAACCGCGGTATCGGGCCTGTCATCTGCTCAGATCCAGGTCCATGGGTCCATAGACTAAAAAAACGCTCGGCCCTCAGCCAGTGAGGGCAGCTCTCGCCGAAGGACCGACTTGATGAGAAGCTCGGAAGAGCTACGCTGGGCAGGCGCTAGTTGGCTGGACGCTTGTACCGTCTTCTTTAGCTTGGGTTCGACCGCTTGCCTGGCGCTGCCATCGTCGCTGGGCTAACGCTGGATGTTTCGGATTGTGATTGTTGTCCATCGCAAAGTAGCGTTTGATTAGTCAAAACTATTTCTATTTTCAGCTTATAGAATCGTGCGCTTAGCAAGTCCACCCTATTCGACCTCCTCGGTCTCATCGTTGTCACCATGGCAAAGGAAGACCTGTCCGAGGCATTTGTGTCCACGGACCGAGACATATGTCAGCAAAGCGGTTTGCACAGCAAGATTCCTTCGAGAATCCATTCGCAGTGTTTTGTATCAGTGTATCGAGCTCGAGCCGGAAATTCAACCAAACGGACCGCAACACTGACATTTTGAATGAATTTACATGATTTTACAAATTTAGCCAGCGACGCGGCTCACTGGCTCCACACAAGACAAGCTGTAGCAAACATGCATATCGGTACCTACATCCATTGGCCTATACGGTACCTCGCACCGCAAGCGAGATTCCCATGGCTGCACGAGCAATGAGTTGCTACAAGCACCCGATGGATTTGGCAGCGCCATGTAGCCTAGAAACCCGACAAAGCCTGCTACATTCTGGCACGAGTCGAGCGTGGCCAAGACTACCTTTCCGAAGCGCCATCGCCCTGCAGTTGGCTTTGGAAAACGATGTTACGACAACAACCATGGCGATGGACATGACTGTAACGCGCGAGAGGAGCCCCAT